ATGCCTTCATCCAGCTTTTGATCACAAAACCAACTGAAAGGAACAAGGGAACCTACCGTTCACTTAATGATGTCAACAGAAACTGTTGGTGGTAGATTGCATACATCCATTTGTTCCTTTTTGAAAATATGGTTAAAATTGGTTAACATTTCTATGTATATAGCTAAAATTAGTATCGGTTTTGTATTTTGTACTGGCTTTGAGTATCTCTCCGGACTCTTACTTTTTTGCTTTAAGCATTGATTTTTTTTTTTTTTTATGCCAGCTAGGAATTCTGTGCTTTTTTTGTTTGTAGTGAGGCCAAAAGTGTGTGCTGTCTTCTGTTGTGTGTTGTATTGAGTATGGCTGGCCACTGATGACAGATATCTCAGCAAGAACCAACAGTCTCTGCTTCTCTTTGTACTTTAATGCAATACTAGGGCCCTCCAGAATCTTTCAATGCTCACAGAGCATAAGGTGGGATTCACAATGAGATCTTCCAACACACTGGGAAATCTCACTGGGCAGCAACAAGGACCTCTGATGACAGAACTACTTATCAGTTCGGGGAGAATGTCATCTGGTGCCCAAGGCAAAGATGCCAAACTGAGCCCCCACTCGCTTTATTACAAATGAGTCAGCATCTTTTTGAGGCAAGAAAATATTAAAAACTTAAAATTAAAATAGAAGAGGTGTATTTAATTTAAAACAGTTCTCTTACACTGCACTCCACCTTCAAATGAAACTGCTGCCCCCTCTGCACCTGGGGCAGCTGCCCCTTCTGCCCCACCTTGTCCAAGCCCTGATGCTTATTATTTTCTATTCTATCATCTTTTAATTAACGATGGATAAAGAAGGGAATATTTTAAACTCCAGATGGTATTTTTGCTATCTGTGTCCAATTGGGAAGACTTTCCCTCATTTCATGTCTTAAAGACACAACAGGAAATGCTAGAAATCTCTCCAACATGGGATAAATCCCATCTTAGGTATTCACCAGAGCACTCTTGGATGATTTCCTATCTCCTCCCGTCCCAGCAACAACTGTAACAATTGTTTTTCCGTTTGGATTTCCCATCACTTGCTGTCAATGGACAATGGTCAACAGGACAAATATAGATGGTGAATGCCCCAAGTTCTGCAGAAATTAAAGCAGAACTCCATGGAAAAAACAAATTCCCATTCAGTGGGGCTGCGCCCGCACTGCATTCGTTAGCTGCTCGTTTTGTCCAGGTGTGCACCAAATGGCCATACTTACCTGATTCTTCAATCTTCCAGAAAACAAAGCTCGCCCTTGTCCAGTGGACTGTTCCTGCCGATTTCTCATCCAGTGCCATTCTGTGGATGTGATGATGTCAGGAACAGTCCATGCACAAGACCGCTGGCTAAGGGGGGAGGGGGGGATGCAGGAGCGGCACTTGGACGATCAGCCGATTAGGTAAGTATATCTCCACTTCCCTCATCCCACTGCATGGGAGAAAACAATTTACTGGAATTCTTGTTTAAAACATGATAGAGGTTCTAACCCTTCTCTACTCCATCCAACACACAAAAAAAAGTTTTGGCTAAGAACACACTAATAGAGGTGGCATTGTGTTGAGTACCTTTTTTTGTCTTTTGTAACAGGAGGATGATCTTGGTGCTCGGTCTTGGCATCCTGCTAATTACGCCTTCTCCTACTGATTTCTTGGAGAACACAGGTGAAACAGAAAATATTCAAACTGCTCTGGTGATATAGAAAAAAAAATAACTTCTGATATTAGTAAGGCTGATATTTTTTTAAAAATTTGTAGTCTCATGCCCCCCCAACACACATACATATGGATCAGAGCTTGCTACCATTGGCTGTGAGCGCTGATCAGATGATGGTTTTCCAGAATGTCCCTTTGACCAAAGCCGGTCTTTAGACGGGCTTCTGTCGAATGAACAGTTGTACACACTGTCCGAGAGTCTGCTGAATCAGCCAATTTTCAGCCAGTGTGTACCCAGCTTTATATTGAGCCAAGCTAGCAGATGGGAAACCCAGGACGCAGGACAGGAAAATCACAGCTCTCATTGTATGTAGTATGGACTACTACAGTAAATTACAGCATCCACAATGGCCCTCCAGATGTCAGATATGCATACTCACATTGAGCCAGGTTGGCATAATAATAGTATGTAAAAAATATGATTCCTGGAGTTTGACTTTAAGACCCAGGATCTAATTTTTTTTGGGTAGTGCTCAGGTACAACTAACATTTCTGGTGGTTCCCTATGACATAGCACACTTACTTTTTGCATTGAGGTCAACCTACTGTCCATACATGCCTTTAGCCCCATATTACTACTTGGGGAAGTGTTTTGGATGCATTGGATGTTTGTTAGGGAAGGTTGTCAATGCATCCACAAAACAAAATATCAATGCATAGCAATGAAACAACAATGTATTGCATACTCTTGTTCGCGATACTAAGCTATCTATCTTTGCTTCTTATAGTGAGTGTTCCCATCACACAGCAGTATGAGCAGCTGGGAACAGACGTCATCTTGCAGTGCAACTCTCAGTTGCTGGGTGTTACATGGAAGCATAATGGTGTCTGGGTACCTCACAATACTAAGATGCATGCAAATGGACAGCAGCTGATTCTGATGGACGCGAAGAAGCACCAGGCTGGTACATACAGCTGTCATAACCATGAAAACAAGGTTTTATCTGTGACGGAGCTATACCTTGGGCGTGAGTTGAAACCTGTTTTTTTTTGCATACTAGAATGAGAAAAATTAGGGGAAAGCTTTTGCAAAGAAGTACAGTATATCAGATGTCATTGCGAACCTGTTTCTGTCAATGGTGTAGACCAGCGGCACGGGTGCTGCATGCGGCCCTTTGCTAGCATTTATCTGGCCCTTGGGGCATTATTGCCCCCACTGTCAGCAACAGTGAGGCATAGTTCCTGTGACCGACACCAGTGGAGCACTATTCCTTCCACTGACACCAATGATGGGGCACTATTCCTCCCACTGACACCAATGATGGGGCACTATTCCCCCCACTGATATCAATGATGGGGCACTATTCCTTCTACTGAGAACAATGATGGGGCACTATTCCTCCTACTGACACCAATGATGGGGCACTATTCCCCCCACTGATACCAATGATGGGGCACTATTCCTCCTACTGATAACAATGAAGGGGCACTATTCCTTCCACTAACACCAATGATGGGGCACTATTCCTCCCACTGACACCAATGATGGGACACTATTCCTCCCACTGACACCAATGATGGGGCACTATTCCTCCTACTGATAACAATGAAGGGGCACTATTCCTTCCACTAACACCAGTGGCCAGGCACTATTCCTCCCACTGACACCAATGATTGGATACTATTCCTCCCACTAACACCAGCACTTTTCTTCCCCCTAATACCAAAGATGGGACATTGCAAGTTGCCATACTCCTGAGACATATAGGAATCCAGACAGTGATCCTTCACTTCACTCCACATTTCTCAATTTTTTTATAATTTTGATGACGTAAGCAAACCCATATTTTTTGCTTTCAGTGCCAGAAAAAAAAAAGACAATTGAAATGTAAGTAGCTTCTTAACAGAAATGCAGACAGTTCTTATTTGATATCATGTAAAAATGGGGTGTGCAGCGCTATACAAATAAAACACACTGTCATAAATATGACCAAAAGTAAAAAAAGTCCTATAGACTAAATGACAAAGAGTCCGAGGTGATATGGTATCAGTCCAGATAGGTATATTCCAGTGATGGAGTATATATGACTTCAATCCAAATGGGTATATTCCAACATTCCAACATGAAGGTGTAGAAAAATTGCCCACTCACCGGAAGTGCAATTTAATGTGCACATAGAAATTCCATGAAGCCGAAGGTCCTGTGAAGGTGCGGCCTGATGATAAAGGTGTCCTCTGGTGGTTAATGGGGTGACGGCTGCCAGAGATGATGGTCTGGACCTATATCCCGAATCATCCAACCTGGGCGGACTCCTACAATGCTGGGCTGAGATGTGGAGGCTCAGTGCCAGGTAATAGAGATGAAAACGCTCATGGTGTAGTATTGTGAAATGTATTTATTAGGGTATATATCATTATGGTAAACAGTAAACGTACAGGGTGATAATAACCTATACAAGTATAGTGTAAATGAGCTCTTGAATACACTGACCAGTGGATAAAAATGGTGGCCACCGGACCTCCTGATCCGGTGGCGTGATGTCAAAGCGTGCAGAGGCTCCTCCTATAGGAGGAGCCTCTGCACGCTTTGACGTCACGCCACCGGATCAGGAGGTCCGGTGGCCACCATTTTTATCCACTGGTCAGTGTATTCAAGAGCTCATTTACACTATACTTGTATAGGTTATTATCACCCTGTACGTTTACTGTTTACCATAATGATATATACCCTAATAAATACATTTCACAATACTACACCATGAGCGTTTTCATCTCTATTACCTGGCACTGAGCCTCCACATCTCAGCCCAGCATTGTAGGAGTCCGCCCAGGTTGGATGATTCGGGATATAGGTCCAGACCATCATCTCTGGCAGCCGTCACCCCATTAACCACCAGAGGACACCTTTATCATCAGGCCGCACCTTCACAGGACCTTCGGCTTCATGGAATTTCTATGTGCACATTAAATTGCACTTCCGGTGAGTGGGCAATTTTTCTACACCTTCATGTTGGAATGTTGGAATATACCCATTTGGATTGAAGTCATATATACTCCATCACTGGAATATACCTATCTGGACTGATACCATATCACCTCGGACTCTTTGTCATTTAGTCTATAGGACTTTTTTTACTTTTGGTCATATTTATGACAGTGTGTTTTATTTGTATAGCGCTGCACACCCCATTTTTACGTTATATTCTTAGAAAGGCTCTGTGGTTCCTTTTTGTGCACTAGCAGCTTTATAAGGTGCGCTCGCTAACTCACATATTTATACTTTATTTGATATCATGATCATTAACAGATTTGTGTTCAGTTCCTCCACAGATAGTGAATGTCCAGTGCTGGGCCTCAGAGTACCCAGAAAAGATTAACTGTACCTGGGATGTCCGGCCTGACTCTCACTTACACACTACCTTCATTTCTACCTATAGGTAATTGACGTTCATGTCTCTGTGTGTTTTGGGTGGAGGCTTGTACTGCCTAGCTGGGATCAGGTAATGGACCTGCGCAGTTTGAGATCTGACTCCAAATGGCCGATCCCTGAGTTGCATATATCCAGAAATATCAGCCAATTCCAGTTGTGTTCTTCTTTAGCTTTCTTTTTTTTCATGTTTGATTTATGGTTTTTTCCCGCTCTCAAAATAGATTGACTCAAATCAGCTCCCACTCCTCTTGCCGGAGTTCCTGGGCCACATACAAGTCCATATGCCTGTTAGCAATGGTGACCCCGCCATTAAGGAGACCCTGTAACTACCTTAAAAAAAAATGTAGGCAAAAGCACAAAAAAAAAAGTTTACATTTTTACTTGCAATGTGTTCTCTTCAACAAACATGTTTTTATTCATGTGCAATGTGCCTTTGAACATTCTACCAAATTTTTTCGGTCATTCATCAATTCTTTAGTACAGCCACAGTTCTCCATCCCTACTGGCATGTCGTAGACGTCTCTTCTGGAAGTGTCTAAATACCGTCCTTGCTGGCCAAGCTCCTACAACCCTCTCCTCACCCTCCTATGTAGCAGCTGTAGGGAAGAGCGAAGAGGAATAGCAAAGAGTTTTCCTTGAGTGACAGCTCTGAGTCTGCTGACATCACATCCAAGTTGGTGGCATCCAGCAGCAGTCTCAAATCTTTTGAAACTCTGAAAAGGGAGGCTCTTGCAGGCAAATAACATGCATATATTAAATGCACATATAATTTAGGAGAAAGATTGTTGCCGAAATGAATGTTCTCGCTACAGGGTCGCTTTAAGGTCCTTATTCAGACAGGACAAAGATTTAAAATCGTTATTATTTGTTTTTCATAGAATATTGTGTTTTGATATCCCTGTTTCAAACTATAGATCTGGGGTTTTCAAACTATGGCATGTGGGCCACATCTGCCCCGTAGCTAGGGTCACTGGTATATCTTCAATACACAGAGATTGAGGATTCAAGTCAGCAGAGGCCGCCTATGGTCTTCTCTCTCACTGACCCCCCCCCCCCCACACACACACACACAGTCTCTTAAAGGCTAATTTCACCTTTCTGAACATGTTACATGCATGTATAGGGTGTAGCAGGTAACATGTTCAGCACCCACTCTCTCTCCCATCGATCCCTCATTGTGACAGGGGGTGGGGGATATTCTCCCTACACCTGCTGTCACAATTTGTAAACAGCACTACTGTGCAGGCTCCGCCCACAAAGCTACATCAATAATTCATAGAGTTCTGTGAATTAATGAACTACAACTACCATCAGTCATTGCAGCTAACGTCTTGTAGTTCTCAATGAACTAAGAGGGTGCTGGTGAGCACTCTTGTAGTTAATTGATCTTCCTGCCTATACGGGGGAGGTATGGGCAGACAGCTATCCTTAGAGTCTGAAGGATTTTTTTTTTAACCTGCAAAACAAAATGTGCATTTATTTATTTATGTATTTATTTATTTAAAGGTGAACTTATTCTTTAACAACCAATCATGTCCTTGCCCAAGCATTCAAAGGAGGACAGAACTTCCTCCATCCAGACCTACTTTGCCTCCGGCTCCCGCCCTGCTGCTACAACTGTGCTGTAAGCCTTACTATTGACATTGATTTAAAGGGGAACTTTTATGGGGACCTGGATGTAAGCATACCACCCAACTTTCTGAAATGATAAATAGGGACACCTTCTAGCACACAGTATGTAGCCAAAGGTCATGTCCCTGTCAGGCACCAGGTTACAATAACCACAACGATCTAATATGCAGAAAATGATTGGTTAAACCCCCAAACAGATTTTTTTTTTACCTCTTAATTTTTCAGAAATATAAAAGGTTTGATAAAAAGATTACTACAGTAAAACACTTTTGATGAACCTGATGTAACGGGGACTCTGATGGTTACTAATTATAGTAAAATAAATGATGTGGCCCTCATCCTGAACCGTTTGGGGACCCCTGCTACAGATCATTTGAATTTGCAAAATCATCTTGGATCAAACACAAATAGTAGTTCTTTTTCAACTGCAAATTATGCCACTCTGCAGGTTGGGATGGACTGATCAGGACCATACGAGCCAGTGCCTTCAGCTTGACTTTAATCCATACAGCTGCCAGATTACAGACTTCAAGATGTTTGCAGACGTTCCATACATTGTAAATGTGACTGCTGTCAATCCACTGGGATCATTTACGCTACTGCATCACTTTTTTGTAGAGAACATCAGTAAGTTCTGAAACTAGAGTTAAAGGGAGATGAATTTCTAGAGTATATTTATTTCTGTCTTTACCTGTTGTATCATTGCTTAACTCTTCTATTTAAACTGGTAATTTCTTGGCTGTCATGCCCATCATCAGGCTTTCGCACTTTACTGAACCAGAAATATTAAATATTGATGGTGTAGCAAGGTAATTAGTATTTTCAGGAGAAGATCAGCAGTAGCAGGTCCACATTTCTCGCATATTAACTTACCTTTAAATCCTAAGCTTACTTTTTCACTAAAGTACACCTGGTAGCCTGGGGCCCCAGTGTGCTTAAAAAAAAAAAAAATGCTGTGCCATTTTCAAATAGCGTCCTTCATTTTAATGTGAAGTGAAACAACAAGAAGCGCACCAACCTTGTGCATTACCTCAGTAACCAAAATTTATTTAGTAAAAGAATGGTACTCACAAACAGCGAATAAAAACAGGCATGTAAGTCCTCCAAGGGACTTCAAAGGCAAGAGGCCAGCGCGAATCCCACCATGGGGGTAGGCACTCAGTACACTGACGCGTTTCGAAGGTCATGCCTTCTTCCTCAGAGCTGACTGGACTGAGTGTGTATGCTCCCATTTATGCCCCCAGACTGAAATAGGGCCCTCCCAGATGGGTTGGGCTGTCCTGGGCCGGGAGGAGGGGCCCGGGTGTCAACAAAGTGCAGTAACTAGTCATCAAGATATATATATATATTAAAAAATATATATATATCAAGATTTTTGTTGACACCCGGGCCCCTCCTCCCGGTCCAGGACAGCCCAATCCATCTGGGAGGGCCTTATTTCAGTCTGGGGGCATAAATGGGAGCATACACTCTCAGTCCAGTCAGCTCTGAGGAAGAAGGCATGACCTTCGAAACGCGTCAGCTGTACTGAGTGCCTACCCCCATGATGGGATTCGCGCTGGCCTCTTGGCTTTGAAGTCCCTTGGAGGACTTACATGCCTGTTTTTATTCGCTGTTTGTGAGTACCATTCTTTTACTAAATAAATTTTGGTTACTGAGGTAATGCACAAGGTTGGTGCGCTTCTTGTTGTTTCACTTCACAGTTTTGTTCGGGCTTCCCCAGCCTTGGTTTGGAGCTGCACGACTTTGTATACTCCGGTGGTTGCTTTCCTGGAATTTGGATTTCATCTACTCACCACCGGCCTGGGTCCCGGAGCGCAGGAGAATCGCATTTGGTTCCTTCATTTTAATACCATATCAGTAGGCCATGATTGACATCTCACTCCCAGCATCACATTAGGAAGCTCACTTCTGCATTCCAAACCCACGCATGCAGTCTGATCTCCCTACATATAGGGTGAGTGTACTGAGCCTGCACGTTTGGACCACGGAAGTGCATTCATACCTGTGATAGCGGGAATGAGCACCTAACATTTGGAGCATCACGGAACTTGGCTAAGATGCGGCTGACTGTTTCAGGGGGGGCTTTTGTGAAAGGCTTTGGGGGTATCAGTCATAGCTTACTAGTAAGGCATTAAAACGAAGGACAGCATTTGAAAACTACATAGCGTATTTCAACACAACGGGGTTGATTTACTAAAACTGGAAACTGCAAAACATGTTGCAGCTGTGCATGGTAACCAGCTTCTAACTTCAGCTTGTTTAATTAAGCTTTGACAAAAAAAAGAAAAAAAGAAAAAGAAAAACAACTAGAAGCAGATTGATTTCTACCAGATTTTACACTTTCCAATTTTAGTAAATCAAACATATTGGGACAACATAGTGTAGTTTTAGTAAAAAGGTAAACTTGACCTTTAAAGAGGGATACATGCAAGGTTGAAGATTGTGATTACATTTGTTTTTTCCCCATTTGCTTTAAATGTTTCTATTTTCTAACAGTACGGCCAGATCCACCTGTGAATGTAAGCTTATCCCTTGTACATGGAGATAGCAGGAAACTATTACTGCAGTGGAGCCCACCTCTTTCTTGGCCATATCCAGACTATTTCCCGCTGTCTTATTTGATCCGCTACAGAAGGACGGGTGTTAAACTGTACAAAGTGGTGAGAAACTGAAAGTTAATTATATCTTTATTTTTGTTTCCATGTACTAAATTATTCTAGATCATTTTCAGTTAAAAAAATAAAACACTGTGGACTTGATTCTTGTCAGTGGCGGAACTACCATGGTTGCAAAAGGTCGCATTTGCGACCAGGCCCTGACATTCTGCCACTGTGGGAGGGGCAAGAGAGCAGGAAGGGGGCCTGCTGCAGAACATGTGAAAGGGTCCCACTGCAGACCATAATAAAGGGTGCCATGACAACAGCTAAGGGTCCCAGGACAAGGTAGGGGGGGGGGGGGGGGGCTCTTCGTGACTTCTTTCACTGGGGCACTGAAGGTTCTAGTTATGCCTCTGCTTCTTGTACTTACAAGCAAAAGTATGGTTGGGGATATTACAGATAATGTAAAGAAATGTTTTAGAGGGTAGCATGTGTAGAGTGTGCAGGGTACATTATTGGCCACTAAATATAGCTGAAGAGGGTGAAGGACATGATGTTAGGCAATATACTGTATATGAAAGAGCAGTGCAAAGGATAGACCAGCAAGCAGTACATGGGAAGAAGAGTACCAGAAGGTATGACCATGGACAATAGGTACAGGAAAAAAATGAGGAGGGTAAGATGCTGGGCAGTATCTGCAGGAAAGAATTATGGCGGGTATGTTAGGAAGTAGTATGTGCCAGAGAGGAGTACGGTATGACAGCAGGCAGTATGTGTATAAAGGAAGGTATAAGGGGAGTACAGGAGAGAGTTGCAGATAGTAAGGAGTGCATTGCCACCATGTCACACACTCTGGAGATCTATAGTGGCCATGCCAGTGCATATTATGCAGCCATGGTTCATTGTTGTTATCGTCAGGAAACCCACCTTAAGAAATGCAATGGAACTAGAGTGCATATAGACAGAAGGTGGCTGGGAAAAAAAAATCATCAGATACATAGTGCTGATATGCAACAAAGAGAGGGGAAAAAAGTGTAAAATAACTATTTTATTAAAAAAAGAAGGCAGCAGTTATTTATGTGTGGTTGCTTTACCTGCCGCTCAGTTAAGGGTGTACAGCGGGTAAAAAAAAAAAAAAAATATTGAACACGTCACTATTTTTCTTGCTAAAGGTGCTATTGACATGAAATTTTCACATGTCAGTAACAACCCATGAAATCTATCCATACATAGAAACCAAAACAAATAAGTTCATAAATTAAGTTATGTGTAATAAAATGGAACGACGCAGGGAAAAGGTATTGAACACTTGTAGAAAGAAAGGTGCAACAGGCATTGAAAGCCAAGACACCTGCTGAAATCTATCAGTAGTTAGAAAGCAATCCTGCCCCTTGTCAGTGCAAATAATATCAGCTGGTTTAGTCTCAAATGATGGCCTTTAAAAAGGTGTCTCATTACCAAGGTGTCAAACAAGAAACACCTCATGATGGGTAAAAGCAAAGAGCTCTCTCAAGACCTACGCAATCTTACTGAAAAACATACTGATAGCATTGGTTACGGAAGGATTTCTATACTTTTGAATGTTCCAGTGAGCACTGTTGGGGCCATAATCTGGAAGTGAAAAGAACATCATTTCACCATAAACTAGCCACGACCAGGTGCTCCTCACATGATTTCTGACAGAGGAGTGAAAAGAATTATCAGAAGAGTTGTCAACAGCCAAGGACCACTTACTTGTGGAGAGCTTCAGAAAGACCTGAAATTAGTAGGTACAATTGTTTAAAAGAAAATAAATAAGTAATTCACTCTACCGCCAGGGCCTAAATGCACGCTCATCAAGTAAGACTCCGTTGCTGAAGAAAAAGCATGTTGAAGCTTGTTTAAAGTTTGCTGCACAGCATTTAGACAAGCCTGTGAAATACTGAGAGAATATAGTCTGGTCAGATGAGACCAAAATTGAACTCTTTGGATGCCATAATACACACCATGTTTGGAGGTCAAATGGCACTGCACATCACCCCAAAAAACCATACCAACAGTGAAGCATGGAGGTGGGAACATTATGGTGTGAGGCATACGGTACTGGCAAACTTCATATTACTGAAGGAATGATGAATGGAAAAATGGACCAAGACATTCTTGATAAAAATCTGCTGTCATCTACCAGGATGATGAAGATGAAATGAGGATGGACATTTCACAAAGACAATGATCCCAAACACAAAGCCAAAGAAACACTTAATTGGTTTGAGAGAAGGAAACTAAAGCTGCTAGAATGGCCTAGCCAACCAGCTGACTTGAATCTAATAGAAAATCTATGGAAAGAACTAAATGTCAGAGTTCATAGAAGAGGCTCACGGAACCTTCAAGATTTGAAGACTTTTTGTGTGGTAGAATGGGCCAAAGCCACACCTGAGCAATGCATGCGACTAGGTTCTCCATACAGGAGGCATCTTGAAGATGTCATTACCAACAAAAAATTTTGTATGAAGTATTAAATAAATTCCAGTTAGTGTATTCAATACTTTTTCCCTCTGTCATTCCATTTTATTAAACAACTTAATTTCTGAACTTATTTGTTGCGTTTCTTTGTATATATGGATTGCATGGGTTGTTACTGACATGTGGTGAAAATGTCATGTCAATAGCACCTTTAGAAATATATTTATTGAGAAAATGGTGACATGTTCAATACTTATTTTACTCGCTGTACTTTAATCAGTGGATAAGTTTTGCATGCATCTGAATGTGCAATGTTGTAAATGTGTCTATATTACAGACTTACCAAACAAATATGATATAAATGTTGGGAACGCTGCATAACCACTTTGATTTACATAACAAAAACCTATTTTAACGTAAAAAAAAAAGCACCGGAAAAATACAGACGTGCTAAATGTCATCCATTTAAAAATCACTTAAATTGTGTAAATTCTGCTGTCTTGTGTTTCTTTGCACCCCGCAGGTTGGGCCCTATGAGCAGACTTCTTTCCTTATCATGGGAAACCGCCCCGGGTCCACTGTACTTGTGCAAGTTGCGGCCAGGGATTTTACCGGAGCAGGACACTACAGCGAATGGAGCACAGTGGTGACTGGACAACCATGGAGACCACATAGAAGCTAAACAGTAGAGTGACTGTTGTAGAGAAGTCAATAAGATGCAAACTTTCAGCGCCGGTTCACATATATGCGGATTGGATACAGTTTAATCCACATCTAATCCGCATGACATGTGAAATAACATTGCTTCCTATGGTGCCTGTTCACATATGTCCAGTGCACTGGTGGTGTGGATTCAGTGTAGACTGAAAAAAAGTGCTGTCCAATTTTTGAGCAGCGAGGTCCGGTTCAGGTGCAGATCAAAGGCTATTGACTTCTATGGAAACCGTTTCTAAACCGCATACGTGTGAACAGGATAAAATCCTAACCTGAACCTGATGTAAACCTGATCTGAACTGCTGAACAACAACTGTGTCAATTAGCTGTTCAACCTGAGCTTCAATCCACACCGCACGTGTGTGAATCATCTCTCATTCTCCTGCTCTCACGTTCCAATGCTTTTTTAAACTGGACTAGCTGCAATGAGGCAAAACATGTAAGTCTTGTAAGTCTGGGGCTGAAATAACACATTTATTTGAGCACTGCTGTACACCCTCCAGTATGGTAACTCATAGAAAACCATTGAGGGGGGCCACACTCCCCAGTAAATAACATTTCATAAATGTGAGGAAATTCCTGCTACGCACCACCCCCCTCCTGTTAGCAGCTTCTGATCTTGTGCAGATAGCTGTGCCATCACTTTGGAAGCAAAGATATGTATGTCCTACCCTTATCTGCCAGAATAAGCAAAAAATGGCAGTTCATATTTGCTTATCTCAGAAGCATTCATAAACAAGGCCCAATGTACGCTACAGATACTCAGCATCTACTTTAAAATACAGTAATTTGAGCCTTGTGCATCAAAAATCCTCCTTATGGAGAACAAGGAGGTTGCCACAACTAATCACCTTCTATAGACTGGCGACATGAAAAAGTCCTGACACCACTGGATCATTATGACAGCTAGAGGACTAGCTTTTTTTTTTTTTTTAGAAGGCTATGTTAGCAACGGTTGACTCTAAGATTCCTCTGAACAGGTTTTCTTGAAGAACTCAAAAGAAACCAGTATCAAACCCACCCTAAAAAATGGCAGTTAGGGTCTGTGTCAACAGGCTTTGGACTTATGTCAGTGGCATCATCTTTGAGACACCCAAGATCCTTCAGACTTATTGACAGGTGCATTTAACCCTTTGAGGACCAAGGGACGTATTTGTCCCATGTTTTTAATTGCGTGTATCATCTGATTAAGAACTTAAAACTCTTTTTTTTTTTTGGTTTGAGTCAAAATATTAGTTCTTATCAACAAACGGATCTAGCTTTTTGCCAATTATTTCATGAAATGGCTTAGTTACAGCAACTGAAGTGTACGAACTTTAAAAACAAAAAAATTGATTCTTTTGGCGTTCCAAAATCTTACGGTCCTCAAAGCGTTAACGTGCGTGCAACCCCATTCTGATCAGCTTTAGGAAGATTTTGCTTTCCAATCAGACTTGTATGGGAATGCAAAAGTCATTCAAAGTTAACACAAAGGCCCTCGACACAGACATAACAACTAGTTTAAAGCTGTACTAAAAAGCATCATATTAATGACATAATTGCGTTGATCCAGCTTGGTCTAACTCATATTCCACAGATTACATGGCACTGCCACCATGACGTCACCACTCCTCCCTCTCCATCTCAACCAATCAGGGAATGCAAATCTCTCCAACAGAGAGAACAGTATTCCACTTTGAGAATGCAAATTTGTCCAACAGGAAAAAAAAGCAATACAAAATCCTGACTTGTTATTAGTGCCAATTCCTGTTACGATTAACTTTTTCATGCACATCTTCTTGCATCTTGCTTGCTGTATGTTTAAAACAAATGCATTTATATGTCAGTATAGATCAGCTTTGAACAAAAAAAAAAAAAAAACCCAAAAGTGTTTGTCTCAGGAGTCATGTTTATTCTTTGTTGCGGTTTCATAGTACATCTGGATCATTTTGATTTTCACATATTCGCATGCTGCTGTGTAAACCAGAACCCCGGATTTATTATTTAGAAAAATAGAGTGAAGAGGAACAGTGCGATTAATGACAAATTTATACATCCAGCTAGAGAAGCCTTTTGCTATTCACAAAATAAAATAAGATAGATACATATTTCTTAATATGATACGTCATTGTTCCTAAAACAGCAAGCTAAAATAAGATACTTAAAGCAGACCTCCCCCACCTTAAAAACACACTAATAGAATCCAAGTTTTGAAACCGATAGTTACTGGGGGTTACTTGCCTCTTTCTTGTAGTTTGTTCCCAGTATCACTCATGTAGCTAAAGCCATGGCATAGTATAGGAAAAAAAAAGGCCTTTGCCCCAAGATCTCGCAGCTTACAGATGAGATCTCCCTGGAAGTCACTAGCAACATAACCATTCCAGGGTAAAGCTGTGAAGTCCTGACAACGTCACTAGTGCTTCAATATACCAGGAAGTGGGATTAAACAATTGCAATTAATAAAATAAATATTATATTTAAAATATAGCTTGAAAGAGGTTTAAAATCAGCATGCAGAGCTGCATGCACCATTCATTTTTAGTGTTGAAGGTGGAAAGGTCCGCTTTAAATTTAGTTATGTAAACGTTTCTTCCAAGTAAACAGTTTAAAAAACATTTTACCCGCTGACTTAAAGCATTAACGATTTACTGTGGTACTGAGTTGCTGACATTTTTAATTTTGCGTATCTATGTGTGAGACTTTACTAAGTGGCTTTCATTGGATAAAATGGAGTCAAAGGTCACAATACAACTGAATATCACGTATGAAGAGTACAAGCCCTGCCACTGTACACGGGTTAGAACGGTTTAGAAAAGGGCAAAAGAATGGGCACTTTTTTGTGCATTAAAACAATGTTTAATTAAAGAACACCAATCTTGCGCTCACAATGGTGTAGAAGTGAGCAGCACCTGTAGTAAGCCTAGGAGATGATGGAATCTGACTGTTCCAAATGTGATCTTTGTAAGGGTGACTGACCAACCAGATGATGGAATAAGATGCCCTCACAGCATAATACAAGCTTCACTCCCCTATAGCAAGGGTGGATAAGGCAACACATTTCAGGGGGCTATTTGTAACAGTAATTAATATAACTTACACAAACTAACGGAGGCAGACTCAATAGTTTATTCAGAAGATGATATTGATATATTTAGGACTTTTTATCTTACTTTTGCAGTAGCTCATGTGTTATACTGAATGAAATCTTCAGTGCCAATTCACACTGATGCGGTGCGTGATTTGCAGCAATTCCTGTGCGTTTCCCATCACAATTGCACTCCGTTCAGCGAACCGATGCAAGTGTCAATGTTGAGTTACGGACACCCCAGAAATGGGTTGCAAAATGCAATTGGCTGAATCAGATTGCATGGGTGTGAACACCTATGCGATCCAATTTCAGTGCTGTGAAAAAAAGGTGCCTGCACCCTTTTTATGTGGTTGCAGTGCAATTTGAGAGATACAAAATAAAGAGGCTCAAATTGCACTGCAAAGAATCGAATGTGATTTGAACAGGATAGCGGTGCGATTCCTGTCCGATTCACATGCGGTTTCCTGCACTGCATCAGTGTGAATCAGCACTCACAGACTGAAGAAAACTTGTAACTCACAGAACAATGGTTGGGAAGCACCAGCTTAAAGAGACTCTGTCAAATTGCTAGCAGGTAGTGAAGTTGAACTCCAGGCAGATTATTATTACACAGGATTTATATATTATTATTATATTACACAGGATTTATATATTATTATTATTATATACAGGATTTATATAGCGCTAACAGTTTGCTCAGCACTTTACAATATAACGGGAGACAATACAGCAACAATACAGTTCAATACAAGAGGGATAGGAGGGCCCTGATCCTTGGAGCTTACAATCTAAGAGATAAAGGATACAAATCTACATTATTATTATTATACAGTGTTTATATAGTGTCAAAGGGTTTGCTCAGTGCTGTACATTATAGTGGGGGACAGAACATGAGACAAAACAGTACAATACAATACTTGAGGGGTTCGAGGGCCTACATTTATTTTTTAAATGCAAGCAGTGCAATAACCTGCATTTGACATGGTATCAGCCTCTTGCAGTCCCTGTACAGCAGGGCTTTTGTGTGAAAGGAAGAAGCAGTACAAGAATCATGCTGATAGAAGAGACACGTGATAAGCTCAAGTGATGAGCTTCTTTCATTGTCCATTCACAAGCTGGGAGCAGGTTCAGGACAACCTGGATCCAAAGAACAGAGGTATACCGCTCAGGCAAACAATCCAGATCAATTTATGACAGGTGCAGCCTCTGGCTCACCACCACACACGATGCAACAGGAAGAAGGGTCAGCCGCACACCGGAGGATTGATGAATATAGTGTATATCTATTGATCTATAGGACACACAAAAACACCAGGATATGAATACAGGACCTGTTATTCATATCTTGGTGTTTTGTGTGTCCTATAGATCAATAAATATCCACTATATTCATCAATTCTCCGGTGTGCGGCTGACCCTTCTTCCTGTTTCAGGACAACATGGACTCAAAGGAAGTGGGTTGAATGATGCTGGCTATCAGACTAAGGATATGGAGCGACAGAAAAAAAACAGACAACGGGGGAATTCTCTTGACGGAGGGTAAATATTGCAATAAAAGCTAATTTTGTCATTTATGTTATCTGGAGGTCCTTCCACAAACATGCAGCAGCTCTTATTCCCCTCTGCCTAAAAGCCAGGCCATTCTGAACAGGTAATGCCCTGACATTTCTGGGTAGCGTCACATCCCCCCACCTTTATATTGGCCCGTCACTATCAAGGGTTGCATCTTTGGCCAGTAGGAATGTAAGGGGTGGGAGAGGGCAAGCAAGCTCAATCAACATTGGGACATGCTTGAGCTTTGCATGTTCAGGATGGTCTTGCATTGAGCCATAGCAGAAGGGAATGAGAGATGCTGAGGGTATTTGCTAACAAGCCACTTCCTTTTTAAAGAAAAAAGCAGA